TTTGTAGGAATTATTTGGCGGAGGAGGTTCAGCATTTGGAACTTCATCAGTATTCGATAGTATACCAAAAGCAAGAGAGGCTGGAAATTTCCATAGAAAGAATGTTTTGGAGAAGGAATCTCAGCAAATTTCCGATTGGGAAGCTGTCAAATATCCACCCGTGAAGGCTCCCTTCTTCACCGAAATTGAGGATTATGGCACGGTATTCGCACTCTATATACTTCTTAGTATTAAAGTAGTCTTTTGTGTTCGACCATTTTGAGGTCAAATGTCTAATATAGATTGTTTGCGCTGCTGTATTGGATGCATAATTTTCTTCATAGCTTTTTATATTAGGCGTACGAACGCCCGGGGAAACGTGGAAATTGGCGTACGGCTAACAGCCAATTTGACCAAGTTGCCCAACCGGGCCCTGAGTTGTTTGAAGACTCTAGCAATCCTAATGCAGGTGCATTTAATGCCATCTGCGACCAGATACTTGAGCGATTTTGTATATTGACCTTGCAGAGCAACAAATGGAGCCTGCATCTTCCGCAGAGACTGGTCTAATTCAAACAGAAACACCCAATTTGGGCGATGATTGGAAAGAGGCCAAGGACGAAGAGTTAGGAACACCAACGCTTTCGGAGGAGGAAAAAAGGAAGATGATGACGAGCGAGCCTGGGCCTGATTTGGGAGATGATGAGGTAGCTTGCTCACGATTTACGAATTTATATTATGACACTGATTTTTTGGCGGGAACATAGCTGCTAAGAATAGTGATAGGAATATTAAATGAAGAAAGAAACACCAAGAGCAAAATAAATTGAATTAAACTGAACGAATTGCGAAAGACAACATCGTAGTTAAGGTTTAAGGATAGGTTGCGCTCATAGTTTCTGCCTAGAACGAATACGGCGTCAGGTACTTGTAGTGTATTTGATCATTCTCTCTTTTTTGAAATTCTTTTCTAGACTTTAATAATTGGGAAACACAGGTTTAACTTTCCTGCATGGAACTCTTAACTGGCAGGACTACGTAGGTAACTGTGCAAAGTTTTAGCTGGTTTGCCCCGTGGTAAGCCACTATCGGCGCATGCGCGCAAGTATGACCATGGTAACTGTCTGCCATTCAGTAAGATTAAATATGTTATTACTATTGGTTTCATAGTTACCTAGGTGTTTAAGGCCGACAAGAATGAATTGGCGTAATTTCAGCATAATTGCCAAAGCAATATCCATTTCTAAATAAAATTATGATTGTGAACTAATGATTCAAGCAAAATATATCACATTTTTGGGACTGAAATGTTGAATTACCAGGCTTATTTGCATATCCAAACCACCTCGTTACCACGGTGCATATTTTCCTGCTTTTAAACTTTTATTTGCTTTTCCATGTTTTCATCACTAATGTAGTAACAAGAATTGGTTGCTTTTAGAAGCTTTCATGCCATCTCATCTTTGCACCAAGAAATTCAAGTAATCAAATACTAATCAGCAGATAACACTTTATAGACAGTCATGGCATACTAAGTAAACTCGATAAATTTTGACGCGCGCCTTATCAGGATAAGCAGATGCTATCAAGTTTCGATCACGACTAATTTGAATATCTTCGTTAGGAAATTTTAGGCGATATTTTGCAAACATAACTGAAATGTACTCTGCTCTTTCCTGCGATCACAGACTAATGAGATGAGGATATTCTTCGCACTCGTGCTATCGTATTCCATTGCTGAGATCCAAGACACACTGGAAGCAATTATCTCTTCCTCACAAATGATAACTTAGCATGCCACGCTTTTACGAAAGACTGACTTTTTCGCTCAGCTATCAAACCTTTATACTTTTTCTTTATTACCTTTTTAAAAAGTCTCATTGGAATATTGTAAAATTTTAGAGTGTTCGTTAATCAAAATAGGCACTATCTTGAGAGATTGCGAAATCATCATTCTTACTAATCACGATTTTTGCGGCTCGATTGCTTGAAGGATACTCAGGGAAGCAAAAATCCAGATTTTAACTAGAGCTATCTTAGCTCTTTCTAGTTGCCGTATCATGTCTAAGAAGCCTCTATCAAACGTGTGTTTTTTAGAAATTATAGGTTGGATGGCGCCCAAAAAAGACAGCCGTCTGCACTGCAATTTACAAATTGCCAGCTATACAAGAGAGTCTTTTTCTAGCATCTTGGATTTCAGCGTTCTCAGCGCTAATGAAGATACTAGTTGTTTTCGAACTGGCTAGGTTTTTCTAAAAGACTAATACGTAAGTGTAAAATGGGTTTAGAAGACAAAGATTGCAAAACGTAGGCGTTCTGGAAGTTATCTATCTAAACTATGCACGCGCCACTCAGTAATTCAAGTGCAAGTAGAACTCTGAATATGAGAAATATGAATCCTGCCGTCTGCTTTTTCGATATGGATAGTGTAGATGTTTTCTAGCGCAGAAATGTGGACCTAAGGGATTTTCCAGACCTAATTGCTCCTCTTGAAAATACATTTAGCGGGCACAAGAAGAGTGCTTTTTATAGAATCTACACTCTAAGTGAAACATGAGTCACGAAAATATATTCTATTGATCAAATCTAATTCATCCACTT